GCACAGCAACCTGCCTCGTAAACCTCCCCCAAGCACCCTACACTGCACAGCACCCTGCATCGTGAGCCTCCTCCAAGCACCCTGCACTGCACAGCACCCTGCCTCGTGAACCTCCCCCAAGCACCCTGCACTGCACAGCACCCTGCCTCGTGAACCTCCCCCAAGCACCCTACACTGCACAGCACCCTGCATCGTGAGCCTCCTCCAAGCACCCTGCACTGCACAGCACCCTGCCTCGTAAACCTCCCCCAAGCACCCTGCACTGCACAGCACCCTGCATCGTGAACTTCCCCCAAGCACCCTGCACTGCACAGCACCCTGCCTCGTGAACCTCCCCCAAGCACCCTGCACTGCACAGCACCCTGCCTCGTGAACCTCCCCCAAGCACCCTGCACTGCACAGCACCCTGCCTCGTGAACCTCCCCCAAGCACCCTGCACTGCACAGCACCCTGCCTCGTGAACCTCCCCCAAGCACCCTGCACTGCACAGCACCCTGCCTCGTGAACCTCCCCCAAGCACCCTGCACTGCACAGCACCCTGCCTCGTGAACCTCCCCCAAGCACCCTGCACTGCACAGCACCCTGCCTCGTGAACCTCCCCCAAGCACCCTGCACTGCACAGCACCCTGCCTCGTGAACCTCCCCCAAGCACCCTGCACTGCACAGCACCCTGCCTCGTGAACCTCCCCCAAGCACCCTGCACTGCACAGCACCCTGCCTCGTGAACCTCCCCCAAGCACCCTGCACTGCACAGCACCCTGCCTCGTGAACCTCCCCCAAGCACCCTGCACTGCACAGCACCCTGCATCGTGAGCCTCCTCCAAGCACCCTGCACTGCACAGCACCCTGCCTCGTGAACCTCCCCCAAGCACCCTGCACTGCACAGCACCCTGCCTCGTGAACCTCCCCCAAGCACCCTGCACTGCACAGCACCCTGCCTCGTGAACCTCCCCCAAGCACCCTGCACTGCACAGCACCCTGCCTCGTGAACCTCCCCCAAGCACCCTGCACTGCACAGCACCCTGCCTCGTGAACCTCCCCCAAGCACCCTGCACTGCACAGCACCCTGCCTCGTGAACCTCCCCCAAGCACCCTGCACTGCACAGCACCCTGCATCGTGAGCCTCCTCCAAGCACCCTGCACTGCACAGCACCCTGCCTCGTGAACCTCCCCCAAGCACCCTGCACTGCACAGCACCCTGCCTCGTGAACCTCCCCCAAGCACCCTGCACTGCACAGCACCCTGCCTCGTGAACCTCCCCCAAGCACCCTGCACTGCACAGCACCCTGCCTCGTGAACCTCCCCCAAGCACCCTGCACTGCACAGCACCCTGCATCGTGAGCCTCCTCCAAGCACCCTGCACTGCACAGCACCCTGCCTCGTGAACCTCCCCCAAGCACCCTGCACTGCACAGCACCCTGCCTCGTGAACCTCCCCCAAGCACCCTGCACTGCACAGCGCCCTGCATCGTGAACCTCCCCCACGCACCCTGCACTGCACAGCACCCTGCCTCGTGAGCCTCCTCCAAGCACCCTGCACTGCACAGCACCCTGCATCGTGAACCTCCCCCACGCACCCTACACTGCACAGCACCCTGCATCGTGAACCTCCTCCAAGCACCCTGCACTGCACAGCACCCTGCCTCGTGAACCTCCTCCAAGCACCCTGCACTGCACAGCACCCTGCACTGCACAGCGCTGCCCAGCTCCTCCTTCTCGCGAGAACCCGGTGCCTACTCCCCGCGTCTCTCGCTTCCTCGTGAACATAAGTTTCCATTACACACAAATATAAACACACGTACACACCAAGACACACACACACAAACACCAAGCTCTCCCGTATGGCCTTAACAGACTGTAGGATCAAGTGTTTTTAGCGAGCACCTATGAAGGCTGGAACGCAATATCAGGGGACGGGTGGTCAGTACCACGCCCGACCCACCTTTTCTCCCTAGTGGCGATATTTTCACACCGCACCAGGTACTCATTTGAGACTGAGCCGTCCTAGGGGAGGCCCAGGACCTGTTCAGATAATCGTCACTGGCGTCGAGCGTGAGCGGGAATCGAACCCAGGTGTGCAGGTTCGAAGTGCTAACCGCTACGCCACCGCTCCCCATGCCTTAGACACACACGCACACACACACGCACGCGCGCGCACACACACACACGCACACACGCACGCACACACGCGCGCACACACAAACACGCACACACACACGCACGCGCGCGCACACACACACACGCACGCGCGCACACACAAACACGCACACACGCACGCGCGCACACACAAACACGCGTACACTCGAGAAGCAAGAACAATCCGAGCCAGCCCCAACCCCAGTTTCACCGCAGGCCCGCGTGAGCGCCACAATTACGGAGCGGCGGAAACCCATCACGTGCTTTGTTTTTCACGAAATCCTGACATCGGCGTCCACCGAGGGCGAACTTTCCACCGGCTACGTCCAATGTACGACAGAAAATACAATGGAGCTCAATGCTCAAGGGTGGACTTAGCGCGGGACATTGCGCACACAGACACACGAACAAACACAGACACACAGAGACACACAAAATACAAAGCCAAAGATCCTTACATAGGCTGAAGATCCTTTTTAGGGCAGGTGCTGTTAGCGAGGACCTACGAAGGCCGATACGGTACACGAGGTAGTGGGTGGCCAGAACAACGCCCGATCGCATTTGTCTCCCTCGCGGCGATGTCTACAAACAGCACGAGGTAATAATTTTAGACTGATTCAATCTTGACGGACACACACGGATACACGGACACAAGATAAAGACACACATGGACAACAACAGCCGCCATTCACCACTAAGTGGTGCACTTCTAGGCCACATGAAGTGTTGAAGGCTCGCTGACAGGTCACGGGACAGACCCAGGTACCATTGGTTGACTGACTGGGATGACTGGCAGATGCACCAGCGGGCATGGGGGGAGACGCGCGCGGTAGAGAGAGGGCGACTTCTTCTGTGACGTGCCCCGCCTGACGAACACGCCCGGACTTCCACGGACAGTTCGCCCTCCATGCCGCGGGTTTCATCGTCATCGTCGTCAGTATCATCAACAATGCATAATCATCATCAGTATCTGCACAATAAAAAATCAGCGTCAATGAGAAATCATCGTCACCATCAAATTCGTGATTGTTTCAAACTGCTTTTTGTGTGTAGTGTTTTGTTTTTACCCTGCACCTCCGATTAGCACGGTTGGCTACGAACGGTGCGAAATAAGTTCAACACACAGACATACAACACTCTCTGACATTTGTAGTCATCGGCAAAGTCATCATCATCATCAATCATCCGCACATTTCATTATCATCATCAATCATCTGCTAGCACGCATCATCATCATCATCTGTCTCTGGAGAGATGGTGATTGCGTCACGTCGCTACCTGGGGAGGGGGGGGGGTTGTTCCCTCGTACCCCTCCCCCCACGCCCCACCCCCACCCCGCAGTGCCCCCCACCCGCCCCCCAGCCATTGTCCCGACGCGTGCACTTCCTCCTGCGAGCGGCCGGGGCGGGGCGAGGTTTCTCTTCGCGACGCGGGACCCGAGACGTTTTTTTCCAAACGCTTTTAAGAAGGAAAACAACGCGAGGTGCGGGGAGCAAACAGGGGGTTGAGTGCGGTGGCGGGGGGGGGCAGCCGGGTGGGGAGGGGGAATGGGGGGGGGGGGGCGCAGGGAGCTGTAATGCGCAGGGTGCTCTCTCTGTTCGTGCGCCACGTCCTCTCTCAAAGACGTGGGCGATCGTGGCCTCCTGTCCGCTGAGCTCTGTCCGTGAGATGTACTCAACGACTCTGTATCGGATTCTCCCTCCAGTGGCATCCAATCGTTCTCATTGCTCATGGAACCCAATTCGCTGTCTTCCCGGCTTCTTGTGGTAACCGTAACGTTCCCACTCAGAGCCACATTCTCATACTCAGCCTCTTGTTTTCTCATCACATGTCCAAGAAATGTAACACTGCCCTTCTATAATTGTTCTCATATTTGTTTTCATGATCCACGGCCGGGGTGTGTAGAGTGGTCAGGAGCGGGGTGTGTGGAGTGGTAATGAGCAGGGCACGTGGAGTGGTAAGGAGTAGGGCGTGCGGGCCACCCTGCAAGATGGTCCTTCGCGTCTTCTCATTGTAAATATGTATTTATAACTCAACAGACGTAGCCACAACTCTTACATCACCCACACAAAGACAAAGATCCCCCGTGTACCCTTCAACAAAATGTTGGGGCAAGTCCCGTAAGCGGGCACCTAATGAAGGCCGGCACGGCACACGAGGGGGTGGGTGACCAGAACCACGCCCGGTCGCTATTGTTTCCCAAATACGCATGCTTGCACACTGCAGCAGCTACTCATTTAAGGCTGAGTCGACCTAGGTGAGACGCAGAGCCGGTTCAGATCATCGTCACCGAAATTGTCCGTGAGCGGTAATCGAATTCTCGTCTCCGGCTTTGTAGCGCGGCGTGCTAATCACGACCCCACCGCTCCCCACGCACAGGCACACCACGTGTTCAGCCCCCCCCCCAGTCCCACGGCTCCCCACACACAGGCACACCACGTGTTCAGCCCCCCCCCCCCTGAGTCCCACGGCTCCCCACACACAGGCACACCAAGTGTTCAGCCCCCCCCCCAGTCCCACGGCTCCCCACACACAGGCACACCACGTGTTCAGCCCCCCCCCCCCCCTCAGTCCCACGGCTCCCCACACACAGGCACACCACGTGTTCAGCCCTCCCCCCCCAGTCCCACGGCTCCCCACACACAAGCACACCACGTGTTCAGCCCCCCCCCCCCCCTGAGTCCCACGGCTCCCCACACACAGGCACACCACGTGTTCAGCCGCCCCCCAGACCCACGGCTCCCCACACACAGGCACACCACGTGTTCAGCCCCCCCCCCCTGAGTCCCACGGCTCCCCACACACAGGCACACCACGTGTTCAGCCCCCCCCCCTCCCGAGCCCCGCGGAGATGAGAGCGGCAGACAGAGCGAGAGCATCGTTCGAGTGGTTTATGTTCTGCTCTTTGTTTGTTTGATTTTTGTAAAATCACGAGACATCATCATAAACAACAACAACGGAAACTAAATAATGAGCGGGATGCGTCACTTAAATAAGGCGGAGCACAGTGACACAGGACACGGGGGGCAAGGGGGGGCGCCTTTCCCAGCCTCGTGCGGGGTCACTACGAGAGTGGGGGGCACACCCTGTAGCCTCCCCCCCCCTTCGTCCACTCTTATCCCCCATCGCCACCCCGGTGTCTGCCTCCCCCCACCCCTAGCCCTCATACCCACCTACAGCCACCGTCTCCTCACCCCCCGTCCTCACCCCCTAACCCACCCCCGAGCTCCGCTCCACCCTCTCGAAGCCGGAGAGACCCCGGGTCTCGCCCCGGCGCTGGCAACCGGGGTCCCAGTGGGGTTCTCCACTGTGGGTTCCCAAAGAAAGGGGGTCCCTATCCCCCCACCCTTCCCACTCCACCCCACGGAGTCGGTTGCCCCCCACGCACGTGGTCCGTGTACCCAAGCCCAGGGCTCTCGTGGGGGAGATGAGGGGGAGCTGTGAGGCCACGTGCCCGTGGGGGCACTAGTGGTAGCGGTGGTGTCTGTGCGTACACAGCTATAGGGCGGCTATACCTGGGTGGGTACACGGGTAGGCGGAGACAGCACACGTCAGCTCGTGGCCGTGTGCACACGTGTACGCGTTAAGTATACATGATAACACGGGTATGTGCCGGTCTGTTGCGTTTGGGGTACATGTGTGTACACAGGTACGTGTGTGTGTGCGTATCAGTGGCCGTGTGTTTGGAGTACACGGGCCGTGCGTTTGGGGTACACGAGTACGCGTGACTCCGTGGCAGCGTTTTGAAGAGCACTTGTGGAGCTGCCCTCCCGTCTGCTCGTCCGTGGGTCCGGGCCGCGCGCGCCAGTGAGGAGCCGGGGCGAGTGGGGGGGGGGGGGGGCGAGTGGGGGGGGGGCGATCAGAGGGGCGACTCACGCGACGACTCGCATCTCTAAATGGGCGATGCCATGGAGTGTGCCGAGGGACCGCGCGCGAGAGAGCGGGGAAGAGAGAGAGAGGCAACATCAGAAGAGAGATTGTGAGAGGGAACCAGGGGGGTTGAGATTGAGAGAGAGGGATATGGGGGGGGGGATAGGGGTTGAGATGGGGAGAGAGGGAGGGATTGGAGGGGGGGGGGGGGAGGGGTTGAGATGGGGAGAGAGAGAGAGGGAGGACTGGGTAGAGATGGGAGGTGAGGTGGGAGAGAGGGGAGAACGGACCACAGCGTCTCCCATGAATTAAAATCTTTCCAATTATGTTTTCCAACCGCAAAAAGTTTTAATATCAGAGAGGATATGAGCGTGGGAGGGTGGGGGGGGGGGGTAGAGCGGGAGGGAGCGGGACAGAGCAAGGAGGAGCGACCGAGAGCCGGGTTCGTGCTGCTGCCACCACCCGCCCAGTTGCCGTGGAGTCGAGACCTCGTGTCGCTGGGCGCAGGGGGGGGGGGGGGGGGCAGTGATTGAGGGTGATAGGGGTGAGGGGGGCATGGCGACGGCTCTACCCCCTCTCGGGTGGCTTCGCGTGAATCAGTAGCAAATATAAAATCGGTGTGTGCACGCATCCACGTACACGTCTGTCAGACTTAAAATCATCTCTTAGAAACATTCCAGCGGCGGGATGAAGTGGGTGGGGGGGGGGGGGGTACTGAGACGCTGAACCCGAGATGAGGACGGTCGTAAAAATGTCGCCGTTGTGCAGATTCTCGGGGGGGCGGGGCTGCGCGTGGGGGCCGGGGGCTTGGGGTGCGGGGGTAGCGACTCCAGCCCGAGGTCCGTGACCCCCGCGGTCCACTTCCTAGCGGGGGGCGCCTGGGCCCCGTCGTGACCCCAGGGCCAGCCCCGCCGTGCTCCCGGCGTCCCCTGGCATCCTCGAGTTTCCAATCTCCAAGTCTCCCGGTTCCGCGTCTTGCAACCTTTGGGTCTCCCGCCGTGAAGGCCCCCTGCACCTACATCTTTCCCATCCTGGAGTCTTGCAATCCCACGCGCTCCTCGTCATCTCCCCCGAGTCTCTCACACGCAGACCCCCCACTGCCCCCCAATGCCCCCCACCCAACCCCCGTTAGCCACACCCACGCAGGCGCCAGGAGAGGCCGTGCGTTGTGTGTGTGTCCATCATCATGCTGCTGCTGCGGAATGGTTGCGTCTTGAATGTTCGCCCAGGGTGGCTCCTCTCGGTAGCGCACGGCTCGCGGGGAGGTACGGGAGGGTGGGGTGGGGGTGGGGGGGAGTCTGGAGGGGAGTCCCGTGCGGGGTCAGGACGGGGGAGTGGCGGGGCTCTCCACTCGCCACTTCTTGTAGTAGAGTTTCGACTCTGCTGGGGACGCGAGCAGGCGGGTGGAGGGAGACAGTGGTGGAAACGCAACGAGTTAGTCGAGAAATCATTTGGACGCGTACACATTCAGTACACAGAGACAAAGCTCCCCAGTGTCGCCTTCTACGGACTGTGTTCATTGGAGCGCTGGCTCTCCGACAGCTGTTCCTTCACCTGAGGACGGCTGCTTGTGTTGTGGCCGAAACGTCGTGAGAATTTTATTTTATTATGTTTTATTTTTATTATTTTATTATTTCCCTTCTACGTGACTTTACCGAAAGGACCAAGAAGATGAATCCCTGCAGTCACGAACGCATTAATCGAAACTTAAAAAGACTGTTGGGGTGTGTTAGTGAGCAACGATGAAGGCCGCCTCGGCACACCTCGCCCGGCCGCCTTTATCTCCCCTGTGGCGATGTTTACACATGCCACCTGGTACTCGTAAAGGCTGAGTCGACTTAGGGGACGCCCAGGACCTTTTCAGATATGTGTCACTGATATCGCAACGTAGTGCGCTAACCACTGCGCCACCGCTCCACCACAGCGTGTACGCACATGTGCACACTCACACACATACACACTCTGCTTACGAATTCTTACACAAGCACATACACACTCATGCACACACTCATATACACTCGTGCACGAATTCATACACACGCGCGCACTCACAGACACACACACAAGTCACGTATATACACGCGTTAATCATGCGCACACACACACAAACAAACACCCACAAAGCCACACCAAAGGTCCCTTCAGCACACGAGGTGATGGTTGTGGGGGGGGGGGGGGCAGCATCACGCCCGGCCGCCTTTTCTCTGCACAACTGATGTTTAATACACATTGCCCCAGGTACTCGTTTTACGGCTGAGTCGACCTAGGGGATGCCCAGGGACGGTTAAAATGTTCGTCACTGTTACTGGTCGTGAGCGCTAGGGATTCGTAACACAGTGCGTTAACCACTACGCCACCGCTCCCCACAAAGACACAAACACACACATAAATCACGTATGTAAACACACGTAACCTGGATACACATACACATTTGCACGCGGTAGCGGCGGACCGGGGATCAGTCCCCACGTCGTGACGCGTGCTGTGGGTGTGGGGCGCGGGGGAGGGAAGGGGAGGGTGGTAGCTCGGGGGGGGGGGCGGTGGGGGGTAGCTGGGGGGGGGGGGCGGTGGGGGGTAGCTGGGGGGGGGGCGGTGGGGGGGGGGGGCGGTCACCCTGCATCGTCTGCTCCGGGTCGGGGTGAGCGCCTTCGTCCTCGTCCAGTGTCTCCTGGTAGGCGCCGATGTCTGCGCAGAGACCACCGCGCGTGTCAACCAAACGGGTCCACGATCCGAGGGTCAACCCGCGGGCAATCTTCACAGCTTCACCACTCAAAGGTCAACTACGTTGCTACCCGTGTGTCCACCCAAGGGGTCTCTACTACCCGTGCTTCCAACCCTACCGAGACGTGTGAGCGCAAGCGCGAGAGAAGATCATCCATACTCTTTGGTTCTTTCGGTAAAGTCACGTAGGTAGAAATGTCGTGATCTATTATTTTTTATACTTACGTGACTTTACCGAAAGAACCAAAGAGTATGGATTCCTGCAGTCACGAACGCTTCAAATCGTAGTAGCTCATCCATTCATCGATACAGTCATTCCATGAATCGTTGATTCGTTCGTTTGTTCGCACACGTGACCACGTCGTCTGTTCAGTCCACTGAAATGCAACACTTCCTCTCCACGATAAGGGACCCATCACAACAGGAAATGCGTGCATGGCTGGACACCAGTGGTGAGCTAACCTCTGTGTGTTGTTAACTCTGCCTGTGTGGTAGCCCGCCTCGCGGAAGCCGCAATGTCCCATGTCCAACACACAGTTCAGACCGCCACCCCCCAGGATCCAAGTGTCAAGTCGAGTTTGTTCGACCAGGTGAGAACAAATATATATCGGTACAAAAACAATTGTATTGCACGAGGAGTTCATAACGTTGCAGGCGCGACGCACGGAGAGGGAGTACCACGGGAAGGGCAGCTCAAGGGCAGCAGAAGGGAGGAAAGCTGAGCGGGAGAGGGAAGGGAGGCCGGGACAGAAGTGGCCGAGACGGACACGGAGGAGGGCAAGGTTCAGGATGAGCAGCAGGGGGAGAAGGAATGGCCGGGGCCAAGATGTCGGGGATGAGAGGGTGATGATGATGAGAGGGTGATGATGATGAGATGGTGATGATGGTGAGAGGGTGATGATGATGAGAGGGTGATGATGATGAGAGGGTGGTGATGGTGAGAGGGTGATGATGATGAGAGGGTGGTGATGATGATGAGATGGTGATGATGAGAGGGTGGTGATGATGAGAGGGTGTTGATGATGAGAGGGTGGTGATGATGAGAGGGTGGTGATGATGAGAGGGTGGTGATGATGAGAGGGTGGTGATGATGAGAGGGTGTTGATGATGAGAGGGTGGTGATGATGAGAGGGTGGTGATGGTGAGAGGGTGGTGATGGTGAGAGGGTGGTGATGATGAGAGGGTGGTGATGATGAGAGGGTGATGATGATGAGAGGGTGATGATGATGAGAGGGTGATGATGATGAGATGGTGATGATGATGAGAGGGTGGTGATGATGATAGGGTGATGATGATGAGAGGGTGATGATGATGAGAGGGTGATGATGATGAGAGGGTGATGATGAGAGAGTGATGATGATGAGAGGGTGATGATGAGAGAGTGATGACGATGAGAGGGTGGAGGGAAGAGAAGGAGGAGAGAGAGAAGGAAGGAGCGAGCAGATGTGAGCTGCATGGAGGAGCTGCGTCTGCGTCCCCAGGAGGCAGTGGGCAGAGTGGAGGGGTTCAGGGTGGAGGGGTTCAGAGTGGGGGGGTTCAGGGTGGGGGGGGGGGTTCAGGGTGGAGGGGTTCAGGGTGGAGGGGTTCAGAGTGGGGGGGTTCAGGGTGGGGGGGGGGGTCAGGGTGGAGGGGTTCAGGGTGGAGGGGTTCAGAGTGGAGGGGTTCAGGGTGGGGGGGGTTCAGGGTGGAGGGGTTCAGAGTGGAGGGGTTCAGGGTGGAGGGGTTCAGGGTGGAGGGGTTCAGAGTGGGGGGGTTCAGGGTGGAGGGGTTCAGGGTGGAGGGGTTCAGAGTGGAGGGGTTCAGGGTGGAGGGGTTCAGGGTGGAGGGGTTCAGAGTGGAGGGGTTCAGGGTGGGGGGGTTCAGGGTGGGGGGGTTCAGGGTGGAGGGGTTCAGGGTGGAGGGGTTCAGAGTGGAGGGGTTCAGGGTGGGGGGGTTCAGGGTGGGGGGGTTCAGGGTGGGGGGGTTCAGGGTAGGGGGGTTCAGGGTGGAGGGGTTCAGGGTGGAGGGGTTCAGAGTGGGGGGGTTCAGGGTGGAGGGGTTCAGAGTGGAGGGGTTCAGGGTGGAGGGGTTCAGGGTGGAGGGGTTCAGGGTGGAGGGGTTCAGAGTGGAGGGGTTCAGGGTGGGGGGGTTCAGAGTGGGGGGGTTCAGAATGGAGGGGTTCAGGGTGGAGGGGTTCAGGGTGGAGGGGTTCAGGGTGGAGGGGTTCAGAGTGGGTGTGGCCACATAAAGGTCACGTGCCTTACGGGAGGCTCACGCTGATCTTGAGATGCAGATGAAAGTTGATTTGAAATCCCAGCAGAATGTGTGTACGCGTGTTTGCGTATATTAATGTGTGCACGCGTTAGTGTGTACGTGTGTGTCCGTGGGTGTGGACACGTGTGTGTCCGTGTGTACGTGCGTGTGTACACGCGTGTGTACACGTGTTTGTACACGTGTGTATGTACACGTGTGTGTACGTGTGTGCACGTGTGTGTGTATGCACGTGTGTGTGTGCACGTGTGTGTGTGCGTGCACGTGTGCGTGCACGTGTGTGTGCACGTGTGTGTGCACGTGTGTGTGTGCACGTGTGTGTGTGTGCACGTGTGTGTGCACGTGTGTGTGCGCACGTGTGTGCACGTGTGTGTGCACGTGTGTGTGTGCACGTGTGTGTGTGTGCACGTGTGTGTGTGTGCACGTGTGCGTGTGTGTGCACGGCTCACCGTGGAGTGCCGCGTGCACGCTCTCCGTGGAGCTGGCGCGCTGCAGCGCGAGGCGCTCGAGGTGCTCGCGGCGAGCGCGCTCCGCCTCGAGCCCCTCGGCGAGGCGGCGGCGCGCGCGCCTCTCGCGACGCACGCGCTTCTGCAGCATCTCTACAGGGGGCACGGGGGGGAGGGGGCGAGGAGAAGGGGGTGCTCACACTTTACCATCGTCCCGCGAACTGCAACTCCCCCACCCCCACCACTCAAAGATCCTCGTGTAAGGATTCAAGAATCTCTTTGCTGTATCGCTCGTTTCTGGCCGCTTCGCATTCGTGGTGTACCGTATGTGGTACACGGCATGGTGTGTGTCGGCACATTTTACGCGGCATGCGTGGTGTGTGATGTAGCGCGTATGACCAGATCAACTGAAATGCGCCACATCCCGCCGGAATAAGGAGAGGTTGAGACTGGGCAGGTTGTCGTGCGCCGTGTGTGGGTCGCGCCGTTGGCAGCAGGCGCCAGGGTGGCGTGGGGACGTGTGGCCCCGTAACCCCCTCATCCAGCAGTGGAGTCATTCGGAAAGGATGTAGAAGCACTTTCATTTTGATGATGATGATGATGGATGACGATGGTGCTGATGGCGCTGATGGCGCTGATGATGCTGATGAGGCTGATGCGGATGATGGTGCCGATGATGATGGTGCCGATGATGATGGTGCTGATGATGATGATGGTGCCGATGATGATGGTGCTGACGATGATGATGGTGCCGATGATGATGGTGCCAATGATGATGGTGCCGATGTTGCTCCGCACCGCGCGCCGCCGTCTCTGCGTGGAGCTGCCTCTCCGCCCCCTCCCTGCGCTCGCGCTCCCTCAGCAGCTCCATGCGCGTCTCCTCCAGCTCGGCCAGGACCTGCCGCTCCTGCGCGCGGTTCGTCTCCATGGCGACCTTCAGCAGAGCCTGGGGGGGGGGGCGGGATAAGAAAGGAGGGTCGGGGGATGACCCAGGTGTAGTTGGATGGCTCGGGTTGGAGGGTTAGAACTTGACCCTCGTGGTGACCATGGGCCACGGGTCGGCAGTACGGACTGGGGGCTGCAACTGCTCCGCGCGGGGGCCGGACTCTGTCCCTCGCCCTGGGTGTTGGCTGTCGTCGTCGAGATGCTCTGACCCGGGTTACAAAGGTGGACTGCAGGTGTCAGGGTGTGAGGGTGCGTGAGGGTGAGTGAATGAGGGTGAGTGAGTGAGGGTGAGTGAGTGAGTGAGGGTGAGAGAGTGCGTGAGTGAGTGTGAGTGAGTGAGTCAGTGAGGGTGAGTGAGTGAGTGAGGGTGAGTGAGTGAGGGTGAGAGAGTGAGTGAGGGTGAGTGAGTGTGAGTGTGAGTGAGTGAGGGTGAGTGAGGGTGAGTGAGTGAGAGTGTGTGAGTGAGTGTATGAGTGAGTGTGTGAGTGAGGGTGAGTGAGGGTGAGTGAGGGTGAGTGAGTGAGTGAGTGTGAGTGAGTGTGAGTGAGTGAGGGTGAGTGAGGGTGAGTGAGTGAGTGTGAGTGAGTGTGAGTGAGTGAGTGAGTGAGGGTGAGTGAGGGTGAGTGAGTGAGTGAGAGTGTGTGAGTGAGTGTGTGAGTGAGTGAGTGAGGGTGAGTGAGGGTGAGTGAGGGTGAGTGAGTGAGGGTGAGTGAGTGTGAGTGAGTGTGAGTGAGTGAGTGAGGGTGAGTGAGTGTGAGTGTGTGAGTGAGTGTGTGAGTGAGTGAGTGAGGGTGAGTGAGGGTGAGTGAGGGTGAGTGAGTGTGAGTGAGTGTGAGTGAGTGAGTGAGGGTGAGTGAGTGTGAGTGTGTGAGTGAGTGTGTGAGTGAGTGAGTGAGGGCGAGTGAGGGTGAGTGAGGGTGAGTGAGTGTGAGTGAGTGTGAGTGAGTGAGTGAGGGTGAGTGAGTGAGTGAGAGTGTGTGAGTGAGTGTGTGAGTGAGTGAGGGTGAGTGAGTGAGGGTGAGAGAGTGCGTGAGTGAGTGAGGGTGAGTGAGTGAGTGTGAGTGAGTGTGAGTGAGTGAGGGTGAGTGAGGGTGAGTGAGTGAGTGAGAGTGTGTGAGTGAGTGAGGGTGAGTGAGGGTGAGTGAGTGAGTGTGAGTGAGTGTGAGTGAGTGAGTGAGGGTGAGTGAGGGTGAGTGAGTGAGTGTGAGTGAGTGTGAGTGAGTGAGGGTGAGTGAGGGTGATTGAGTGAGTGAGAGTGTGTGAGTGAGTGTGTGAGTGAGTGAGTGAGGGTGAGTGAGGGTGAGTGAGTGAGGGTGAGTGAGTGGGAGTGTCTGACGATCCCCGCGTGAGACAGGAGCCGTCACCTGGATGTTGGAGAGCAGCTCCGACGTGGAGCAGCAGAGCGCGTGCGGGAGACCTGGGGAGGGCAGGAACTGGGTCCTTCCGGTACCATTCACAGTCGACAGGGACCCTGCGCGCATCATCATCCCAACAGCACCAGCATCATCACCCCAACAGCACCAGCATCATCACCCCAACAGCACCAGCATCATCACTCATGATTCGTCCACTGCTGAATTAATCTCTGACCAAGCCATTGGCATGGGCCATGCGCATTGGAATAAAATCGACCAACATTGGCTACACACTGTATGGGCTCCTGATAATTCCTAGCCGGGATGAAACCGCTGAGTACAGTTGTCTCGACTCCCTGGCTGTCCTGCAAACGAGCTGTTCCCATCTCACGGGGTTTTCCACGGGAACTGCAACTGAGCACCAATGCCATCAATGCTCATTCGAGCGGTTAATAAATTCACTGTTGCGAAATCCGACTCATCCTGGTCACTTCAGTGATTACCTATTAAAACAAACACAACTCATTCACTCACCCACTCACTCACACACTCACTCACGCACTCACTCAATCACTCACTCACACACTCACTCAACCACTCACTCACACACTCACTCACACACTCACTCAACCACTCACTCACTCACACACTCACTCACACACTCACTCAACCACTCACTCACACACTCACTCACCCACTCACTCAACCACTCACTCACACACTCACTCACCCACCCACTCAACCACTCACTCACACACTCACTCACCCACTCACTCAACCACTCACTCACACACTCACGCACACACTCACACACTCACTCACGCAACTACTCACACTCATTGCTCATTCACCTACTCGTTCACCCACTCATTCTCACCGTGTTAAACACAATCCACTTCAAACCTTGACTTGAATATTACTCAGGTCTATAACTCGGACCCTGTTTACGAGGAGTTCGGTGTGGAGCCAATGACCGCACGTGGTGGGGGGAGGGGGCGAGGGGGGGGAGCGGTTTCCCAACCTCAGCCGCTGAGTGGCAGCTGCGGCCATTCCCGATAGCGCGCTTCCCGATTCGTGACTCGGGGCTTCCCTTATCTGATGCAGCTCCTGGTCCGAGGTTTGGGGGTGGAGGTAGGGGGAGGGGCCCATTGGGATGGACGGGTCTAGAATGCGGGGAGAGGGGGGGGGGGTACTACTTGCCAGGGACCCCGAATGTACCGGCCAGCGGGGGTCCAATCGGCCGGGATTGGGCAGCGTGAACTTGCAACTCGAATCGAGCACTGCGCGCGCGCCCTGGGAGCCCGTGCAGGAATTCCCCCCAGATGTCGCTGTCGTGATTCCTCACCCGTAGCACTCGCCGCGAGTGTCGTGGAAACAAAATACGGAGAAACTTCTGCGCATCTCCTTCCCATTTGTGTTTCTCTACGTAAAAACAATAAAAGTGTGTGTATGTGTGTGTTTGTGTGTTTGTGTTTTAATTCATCCCATCAGCCAACGCAGCCCTTCTGGGAGTGGTGGGTTTATTTTTTTCCCAACGGCATTCGTTCAACGCAGCAACACCGCAGCACCGGCTTTGAAATGCAGTGTCTCGTCAGCAGAGGCAGGCTTGGCTAAACAAAGTTGGTGAACTGCCAGCAGTTAAGAGGCAAAGGCCTTCTCTATTCGACACGCGTGAACCCATATCTAACAAAGGGGGGCCTCGCCCATGAACAGCTGGCAGTGTTCTCCAGACGAGCCGAGTGGGGATATTCTGGCCAGCTTGACGATTTCGTGCATAGATGTCGGGAAAATGATAGACGTGGGCTTTCATTATGATAATGAAATTACTTTTTTTGCCTCGAGCAAAATATCTCAAACAATTGGGGCTGCAATCCATTCCTCTGTCAATGCACTGCTGGATGAGTCTCGAGGCGATTATTTCAAGAGGATGTCTGCCACATTGTGATATAATTGGCCAATTCCACTTCAATACGTCGTGGGTATTATGAAGGCAACTTAACAAAGGCATGAACTAGATTCGAAGCTTTCATGACTGCAGGAATTACTCTTTGGTTCTTTCGGTAAAGTAACGTAAAAATTAAATTAAATAATCAACAAGGTTGTGTTGGCCGACTCTCTGTGTTGTATTGCATTATATTTCCAAGTTTACTATGTTTATTTCTCATTAATTTGTACCTGATGACGGTTGCTTGTGTTGCAATCGAAACGTCGTATTCTATTATTAACAGAGCTATGTTTAATAGCGTAACACGTGGTGTGAGATGTCGTACACGAACGACGTTTCGAGGCAATGACCCTGGCTAAGCTCGAGAGAGTCCCCCAGTTGACGCCGATTCACTGCCATGGATACATTGCGAATGGCGTTCAATGCCCACTCGCTCTCTCCATTCGCCTTGTCCCAACACGCACTCTCGCCTACTCTCTGCCGATGCATCCTGCCGCGTGACGGAAGACTCTCCATCGGAGTCTGCGGGCCAGAGCGGAGCTTAGTACCACCACCCAGGGTAGCAAAACCCGAGCAGCACTGACGCATGCATACGGATCGTGGGAGTGGATTGTTCGAAACATCACTCATTCCCTCGGGTGTCACATCGCTCACCGCGCTTGGCCACGTAAAAAAGAGTTGAATCGCGAGAGTGAAGGCACCTCAGCCGTCTGCTCTGGGCTCATGGATAATTGCAAAATGAATTGGTCGACCATCGCAATGCAGCAAGGCGCTCGTCAAAGGGGCACGTGAGACTCAATTGTAGCGAAGTTCTCCTGGGAGAGCAGAACGCCGACTGCGGGTTTTTGCGTCAGATCACGTGGCTCCCGCGATATTTTTGTGAATCGGGTGGGGGGCGGGGTTGATGGGTGCACACCCCCCCCCCTGCCCCCCGTGTGCCCAGGGGCGGGGTGAAGGGGGCGGGGTGAAGGGGGGGGGAAGTGAGACGTGCGCTCTGTCCCACGTCCCGGGACGGTGGAGGACAAACAGAGGCTTGTTTGTGTCTCGGTAATTACCGCTAATCCGCATCCAATTACGGGCCGCCTTATCTCACGGAGAGAGAGTCGCTGCTGCTGTTGCTCATCTCTCCCCTGCCTCTCTCTCTCTCTCCCGCTTCTCTCTCCCTCTCCCCTGCACGCACTCTCCCCACTTCTTCCCGTGACCCCCCCCCCCCCCGCGTGTTTACGCGGAGCGAGCGCGCGCGCCACGCCCCGCGGGCCACAGCGACTCCGCTCCTGCGACACCGCAGCAGCAACGACGCCGCGAACACCAAGGGCACGACAGTGATCAACAATCACACCGACAATAGCTCAACAACTATACAACAGCACCTACAACAACATGAATGCGCGACCGTGTTTGTGTGAGCGTGTAAACCTGTGAGTGTGACACTGTGTGAGTGTAAGACTGTGAGTGTAACACTGTGAGTGTGACACTGTGTGTGTGTGACACTGTGTGGGTGTGTAACACTGTGTGTGATTGTGAGTGTTACTGGCACCCTTTTTTACCATTCGGTTGCCGTGCCGGCCTTCAAAGGCGCTCGCTTACAGCACTTGCTCCTACAGTCTGTTGACGCTATACGGGGAATCTTTATCTTTGTGTGCGACTGACCCGCCTCCAGGAGCTGCTCCTCCCGTTCGGACCCCGCTCCGTGTCCTGGGGGGCCCTGGTCCCTCCTCTCGCTGGGAGCCCCAGGGGAGCGGGGCCCCAGGGAGAGGTCGAGCATGC